AATAATGTCAGATGTGACAAGCTTCAAAGGTCAAGTATCTTATATAGCTAATAAAACCTCAGTAGCAAGTTGTTGGTTGTTAAGAGTGGGCTTCTTCATCAGAATTAGAATAATATTTCCAATTCTCAACAGCATCTCATTCTCAGCACTTTCAATGCTTTTAAACGTATTTTTAGACATAACAACGCTGCAGTTCTTGAGATATGTTGAAGAATACTAGAATTGTTGTGATTTAGCATTACTGTGTTCTTTTGTTCTCGTCCCCAATCTCGTTGTTGTGGAACCGATGTAAGCGCCTTCACACGTTGAGCAACAGTCTTGTGCTGAGGACTAGTCCTATCTGAACATATGTTGTTACTTGATTTGTGGAAAGACTGTTCTTATGACTGTGTTAAATTTTTTCGTGATCTGAAAAGAGTGAACACCAATATACGAAAGAGTTATAATAGTTGCATTTTGAGGCGTTGAAATTCATAACTTTAAGACTAGGAATGTGTTTCATTATTTTCTCAATACAGTTCAACAAACCATCTTGGTAAACAATTCCTATTAAACACTGATTTCAATATATTCAATTATTGTAAGAAGCGTTAGTAACTCTATGAGAATGACCTACGAGACATTTTTCTTTCTTTCAAATTATGAGGTACATAGCCATCAAAGTGTGAGTATAGCCTTGTGTAGCGAGGTTTATGATAAACTCCGATATCAAACTTTTTCTGCTTATTATACAGCAGCGTTTACAACCATATACTGTTGGGAACTAAAGGAGCTCGAATTAAACAATCAACAGACTGCTGCTACGTTGTTATTAGTCATATAAGCTACTTTATGCTTAATTTTCACGCATTTCATATTGTTTTTTAGCTTCGAATAGTTTCACAGTCTATGATCAGGAAAAAGTCCTATGTACTATGCAATATCTGTATTACCAAAGGTTGAAGTTCCATTGAAAACAAGGAAGGAAGCACAAGGTAATAAAGACAAATAGCCTAAGGTGCAACAGAAGGGAATTCATCATGTTTATCTTTGGAAGCACATTGGTGGGAGAACAGGTAAATCAACCTCCTGGAACAGCCTGAGGTTCCAAAGAATCACCAGAGATGGAGCCACTAGAGAGTTCCCTCGACCATCTTCCTGAAGAGAACTCCCCCAGTGACAATACAGTGTTAGTAAAGGACAAGAGGTCATTCCACTTTCGTGCCATAAACCACGGTGAATAAAAACACCAAATAGATTTAGTGACTGAACGAGTTTAGAGACATTGAGTAAAGAAATAATTTTTTTGTTAATCAAAATTCTGATTATATTTTTTAGTAAAATTAATTAATTATAAATATTAATTATAGAAGATTAATATACCATTGGTTTTTGGAACTTCATAATCCAGTAGGTTTATGTGTCGTAAAGTACAAAGCTATAAATAGGTTATCTGTGCTGTGCCTACTGCGGG